CAGACTCAGCTGTTACCAAGGTGCCGAAACCAATGGCATCCCTGATACCTGCTGTGTATTTGACTAATTCAAAGACGAAAGAAGTCGGCTGGATTATTCAGATGAACTTTAGTGAATAAATAGGATGAACGAATCATACATAATGATATACGAAAAAGTGTAGGAATTCAGCTGACATAAGTCTTTCTGAGAAAAAAAAACTTTTAAATTCTTTCTTCTTCGTCTGTCTTCAAGTTCTTCGACTAGTAATAAAGCATCATGGGATATGTAGTCCATTTTCCGAAGCCAGTGGCAACACTTACGGCTAGTCCCGAAAGCAGTGGCACTTGTGGCAGGTGTCAGCGGAAGTGCCAGTATGAAGTGCCGAAGTCAGTGGCAGCACTGGCAGCTAGTCCCGAAAGCAGTGGCACTTGTGGCACCGGAAGTGCCATTAGTAGGTGCGGCTACCAGTTCGCTTTGGCAGTTCGCTTTGGAGCGAGCGTATGTTTTCTACGCTGACGTTCCTTCCTTCGTGGGGGGAGGGGGTGCGCCGATTTATGTTTTCGCATCCACCTGAATAATGTGCAGTTGCGCCACTGGTTGGAGACGAAACACCTGCGCGACGTCATCGCTGCAGCCGCTTGTCTGCACTCATTGAGCGTGAACTCCTCCAGTCCCCAGTGCGCACAGGGAAAGGATGGGATGCTCCACCAGCTCTCAAACTTCAGCGGTAGACACGACTCGACCCAACGCCAAACCCGAGGAGAGCAACGGAGCCAGCACCACAGGTGACTGAAAAAAGATACGACTTTATTCCTGAATTATCAAAGCTATAATTAAGGCAGGTGTGAATGCACAAAACAGAAGTTGTGTGCAGGGAGTGTTAAGTAGTATTCGTTTTTAGGGAGCTGATGTATCAAATTAATAATTTACTTTAATCAAAGCAGCATAAAAGTAATAAATCTGTTATTTGCTTGTATAAAAGTTAACATTCATGCATGCCTTCAAACCAATGGTTTTCCTCAAATCAAATGCACAAATCACTAATCCACTTCAGTTAAAGTAATGCTATAAGTAGCCCTGTGAGTGTGTCTGTGGAAATGGTGTCAAGTTGGAAGTTCTCTGTTTTCTCCATACAGAGTTGCATTATCCATTTAACGCTGCAGTGAATATAGTTTAGATAAGGGATGCAAATTGGTGCCAGTGGTGTTTCTCTGTGTGCAGCCCGGCGCCTTGTGCGTTCACTTGGGGTGAGCCACATCTCCGCAGGGACAGGATGAGAAAGTTTATTGTCATTAGTTAACGGTGGTTTCTGGCTATGTCCGCCCAGAGCAGATTTGGTGACAGTCTACGGTTTCAGAAGGAAATGGAGAAGCGGAGTCGGGCAGGACTTTGTTGTAGCGGGTTTCAGAGAGGTGCTCTTGCTTTGGTGCAAGTTAGTTTGAACACTTTTGCAGAATGAGGGGTATGCCATCAACAAAACCATGTGTGTGTGTGAGTGAATGAATGAATAGACATTTAAAGTGGGAAGTTTGTTGAAGCAGCTGAGACAATAAAAAGGTAAAAGATTCACTAAGTGGGACCTCCTCTGAGGTGAAAGCATGCAGACGTAACGCTTTAAAGAACACCTAAGGAACTGGGAAAGTGTCTCTGACTTCCCTGTGGAACTGGCAGACAAAATGAGATATGCTCACCAAAGTTTTTCTTTTATTACTGGCTTTTGTTTTGAGTTTATCAGCGAAATAACAGTGAACAGTATCCCTGTTTTCTTGTTATCAGCCTCTTGGAGGTCAGATGGAAATTTATCAGGACGTCTCCGTATTTTTGCATGCATCTTATTTTCCTTCTCCGGATGCCTGAGGGAGGAAAAAAAAAAGTAAACACTTTTTAATCCAAGGCTTGCACCTCTTGAAGACACATTTCCCTAACGCCAAATCTTTCAGTCAGTTCATACGACATGTTTTGTCTTAGTCAAAAACATTTTTTGCTGTTTTCGGCTGTCAATTAGTTTCGTTCCAGCTGACTCTTATGATGTCGAAAGCAGAGACTTGAGACTTCTGCGATCCATGCAAATTATCCCGATGCAAACCATTCCACCCAAAAACTCTCTACAAGTGGAGTGGCGCAACATATCAGCAAGTTGTTAATGTTCCTGAAAGAGTCCTCATAAACATTAACTTAGGTTTATGTCAACCAGAGGTCCCTTTTTAGACATATTTTTGCCTTTAATCTAATAAGCATAGCAGATATTTGGAAGATGAAAAGGTTTTTATTTGTTTTTCACTTTCCAATGAAAGATGTCATCGTATTCCTTTAAAAGTGAATGTTTTTTCTCTTATAGCAACGACAAAGCGATGCATTTTCATGTGAGGAAAGTTTCTGATTAGCTGAAATACGTTGCTGCTGTGTCATGTTAGTAACCCAAATCGTACATATTTCTACTTTTCCTGTTTTGTTTTTTCCTGGGTTTTTTTTTATTAAACCTGACTTGCAGCTGCTACCTGGGTCACGTAAACATAAAGAGCAGTCAGTGGAGGAAGTAACATTACTGCTGCTTTTTAATGCAGAAACGTAGAGCCTTGCATCTGAGCGTTTCTGTTTGTGCAGGTATGTGGTCACTAAGGAACCGCAGCCACTCAAAGTTCTGCTATTAGCTCACCTGTGCTGCTGTGATTCAGGTCATCGGTCTGTTGAAACAGGAAATCTACTTGGGGAAATTAGAAAATGAATTTTAAACTCTCAAAACAAAACACTGAGCCCTTACCCTTCATGTGTCATAGTTCATTATTATTATTATTATTATTATTATTATTATTATTATTATTATTAATAATACTAATAATGTTCAAGGTTGATATTTTGAACATTTACTTTGCGTCTTCATAATATGTTTTCACGGCTTTCTGATGACAGTGCAGGTTTATCTACTTTGTTCAATATCCCACACTTCTATTCACTGTTATTAAAAAAAAAAGCTGGTTTAAAGCTGTAAAATATGTTGAAGTTAGCCTGACAAAGTGAAAGTTTAAGGTACTCTTGGTTATTCATTGTGATGAATACTTGTTAGCTTACTTTCTAGGAACTATTGCGATGTTCTGTGATTGTTTGCCGAGTTGTTGTAAATGTTCCCAACAGGGGCGGCCGGTGAGAATGGAAACATAGCTGAGGACAGCGAGACCATTCCAGACCAAACACCGGCTGAAGGCGGCGATGCTAAACCTGAGAGCGAAGCCGCTGCAGCGGCTACATCTGCAGAGAGCTCTGCCGCAAGCCCCCCAGCAGCGGAGGAGTCGCCTCCTGCAGCGGACAGCAAGCCAGCAGAGGAAGCTGCACCGGCAGAGGCAGCAGCAGGCGATGCTCCAGCAGCAGGAGATGCTCCAGCAGCAGGAGATGCTCCAGCAGCAGGAGATGCTCCAGCAGCAGGAGATGCTCCAGCGCCGGCTCCACCTGCAGACGGCTCTGCCGAAGCAGCACCAAGCTCCCCAGAGGCTGCACCTCCGGACCAAGGTGGGTTACAGTTAAAAATAACAAGCAGTGACATGCAGAGCGACTTGCTTAGTGTTACTGCATTGAGCTGGGGGAAAGCTCAGTCATCTCTGGGTTCAGTTTAAATGCTTCTGAACATCCACGTCCTAACATTGCCCCGCAAGACATTTCCTTTAAAGGATTCACTTTATGCTCTTTTATCAACGCAAATTACTCTTGATATGCAAATCCCCTAAGAGTGACTGATGACTGCATTGAGACAAGCGTCAGGCTGACTTCTCAAAGTTTTGAAACAGGTCGGGCTGTGGGTAAATCACACATTCACGTGCTTCTATTTTACTTAATTTTTTCAATTTGAGAACTCAGAACAACAAAATCCACTTGGACTTGCATCGCTTGACATCAGACCGCTCAGAGGTTTTGCTTCCCGGTGGGAGGAAGACAAGATGTGCAGATTTTTTTCCCTTGCCATTGGTAACCAGAGTGGTTTTAATGCCCTTGTGCAGGTACATGACGTCCCCTCGGTCTTTCTGTAACCAGGTAGTATCCAACAACACCAGTTGGCTGCAGGAATGTGTTTGCAGGCCACACCTCTAAATATTTTTTGCTAAATAATCTGCCTCTGTGTCACTTTACCTGATATTCTTATGGTGATTGGTGAACTATTTGATAGCTCAACTCGTGGTAATGCCTAACCAGAGTGGGGCTGTAAAACAAAATCCCGATATTTTTTTAAACATCTCAGAGAGAATTGTTCAAACCATCATTTGAAAATGAAAAGAACTGTTAAAAAACAGTTTAAAGAGACTGAAGCTAAGGTTCACAGTTTAGCAGGATAACAACCATGAACAAACATCCAGAGCTTCTATGGAATAGTTTAGAATGGTCTAGTCAAAGTCCAGGCCTAAATCAAGTTGAGAATTTGGCAAAACTTGCAAAGTGATGTTCACAGATGTGCAGAGCTGCTAGGTATTTCCTCCAAGACTTAAAGTTTCAGCAAAATGTGTTTCTACAAAGTTTATTAAATACTGAATGTTTTATTAAAAAAAAAAAATCTGTTGTGAATCATGTGCAAGCAAAAAAAAAAAAAGTATAATTTTCCATCTAGCTATTCACTATTAAACGCAGCTTTATATTGGTGTTACACAAAATCTAGATAGAAACAGATTAAGGTTTATGGTTTTAATGTGGCTGCAAGTTGTTCTTTGTCATCTGACAACTTAAATGCAAAATGAAAAACTTTTTTATCAGATATCTTTATTCCAGATATTTTATCTTAAACAATAGGTCCAAGGTATTGATGAACTGTGGAGATTTAAAAAAAATAATCTATGAAATCAACAGATTTGGCTAAGAAAGTCAGAACTTTCAACCAAAGCTAAGTGTGTTTCTAGAGAACACCTCGGGTTTGTAGGGTGATGTTTCCACCTCTGTTGCTCGGTGCACATCTGCACATTGATCTGCGTGACTTGGGGCAGTTTTCACGGCTATCAGTTCTCTCAGTGATGCAAATGACCCTTACCGCGGGCGTTTGTTCAGCAGGTCAACGCTTCACTTTCCTCTACGCTCAATGCAAAGCATCAGACTCTGTAACAACACAGACCAGAGAGGTAGAAGCTTCAGAAGTGCAAACGCGTAAGGATGATAGGCGCTTTTAGTTCTCTTAAATTCACATTTTAGGAAGAGTCTCAAATGTGTTTAGTCCACATATTTCTAAGTGGTGACGGAGAAATGAAAGCAGGACTCATCTGGAGGGTTATCGTCAAGAAAAAAGGGAAGAAAGGCATCTGTACTTTCATGCTTTACAAAAAAGTGTGCAAGTGAAGAAAAATCATTCAAAGAACCTTAGAAAACCTCAAGAATTAACTCGAGAGTAAAGAAAGATCTGACTCTTCAGAAAAAGCCTAAAATATTCAAAACCGTTGCTCAATGGAGACAAACAAAATGCTTGTTCCGGCTCTCGCTCGATCTTGACGCCTCCCCTCTGGTGTCCGGCTTGACTCGGCCTCAGGTCAGGCTCTGACCACGGCCCAGCTTGGTTGTTCTACCTGCAGCCGATGTGTTTTCAGCACTTTGTTTGTCAGTGCCATCCCATTAATTTGCAATCCGAGTCCCCCGGAGAAACCGGAGGACGCCGGCCCAGGGCTTCCACTGATGTCGGGCTGCAGGCCGAACCTCCTTTTCACAGCCAACGCAGAGAGACGATAGCGTGTCACACAAGCAGAGAGCAAGCTCAACCGTTCCTGAGGATTTTAGGGCTCAGTTTAAAAGAGAAGCAATTGAGAAGAAGCGTGCTGATTTCACACAAACAGTGTCACAAGTATTTGGATTTATATTGGAGTTGACCTCATCGTACTCTAATATTTTTCGAAAAAGAAAAAAAAAAAATTCTTCAAAATAAAATCAGGTCAATATGCAGCTCTGGAAAAAAATAAGAGACCACTTAAAATTATCAGTTTTTCTGATTTTACTTTTTATATATATTTATGTTTGAGGAAAATGAACATCGTTATTTTATTCTATGAACTGCTGATTATGTATTATCTTCCACTTCACACTCATGCACTGCTTTGTGTTGGTCTGTTAGATAAAATCCCCCAAGAACAGATTAAAGTTTCTATTTGTAACATGACAAGATGGTAAAAAAGGTGCCATTTACAAATCTGGATCATCGTAAAACAGGAGTAAAAGTTCAGCCATGGGCCATTTGTGGCTAAAATGACAAATGTGAAAGTTCAGCAAAACATTTTTGTCTTTTACTAAGCATGTTTTTTTTTCTTTTGGTGGGTTCATATCCCAAACATCAATTCAGTTCTGTAAAATACAACAAATGCTTTCAGACAAAGAGAGACACTTCCAGTGTTCTTGTTCTCAAGCATAATCGTCCCAAAAAAGTAGTAAACTGCTAAATCTTGTTGAATCTACGGTTATTTACAAATCAAAAATGAAACCAGTTTGTGTCATTCAAATACTTCATGTTTAGTTTATGCGACTTTACAGTTTGGGCCTACGTTGCAAACGTCTAACATAACATTCCTGATTCGAAACCATGTTTTGATCCATGCTCACGTTAAACTCTCTCTCTCTAGAGGCCACGGCGACTGATTCAGAGCCCAAACCAGAGGAGGCACCTGGTGAGCAAATGCTGCATTTTTTTTTTTTATATAAACGATTTACTATTTTGACATCCCGGTGCCCGAAACAAAACCGTACGAGCGCCACTGTTCTCAGACGCCGTGTCTCTGTTTGCATTTCCAGCGCCCGGCGAGTGAAGCGTGACGAAACCGACCACACGGATGAGCTTGCTGGAAGAGGCGCTCCCCGTCCGTGTGCATGGGTGGGAGTGCGAGTGTTTGTGTGGAAGAAAAACATGCCTTGTTGCCAAGATGCTGACCCTGATGATGACCTCTGTCATTCAGGGTTCCTCTGTCACCATTGTGCCTTTTCCCCTCCTCCCCCTTCTTGACGATGCACAACTACAGTTTTTACTGTACATAGACAGATATGTTCATCGGAGAGAAGTTTTAGAGAAATCATTATAATCGATATTTATTGTATGTATAGAAATGTTTGACTTGGATTAGAATCTGTCCAGATTTTTTTTTTTTCTACAAACTATATTCTGACAAAAACCGTAGTTTATTTTACCAGTTTAAATACACAAGGTGGCCTTCTTCAATTTGATGTTCTATTGTTGTTATGAAGGTCCTGGAGAAATAAACGCTGCCTTTGCTGAATTAAATAAGAACATTCCTACGTCTCATGACGATGAAAGCCTGAAATTTGTTATAAGCTGTGAACTATCACATAAATTAAAAAGGCAGTATAAAAAATAATAAAATAAAGAAAAGACACTCGAGACGTTTGTTTCTTTGAATCAACACGTTTCGACAATTATGGAGGAATTACTACTTTATTTGTTGCTTCTCTGTTGAGGGACCCGGTCCGGAAACAATGCCGCCTCTTCGGGAAAACCTGAAACGATTGGACGCCTTGTTGCTTGGCTACAGCTTGTTTGGGACGCGGTCGGCGAGTCAGGAGTCAGATAAAGGGCCGAGGACGGCGATCGCCTCGATTTCCACCAGCGCACCCTCAGGAGACAAGACAAGATTTCATGCATGCAAGCATTTCTATAACAAAAGAGCCATTTAAACTGAATTAAACTAAATTTGATAAAAATCTGCAGCTCAACTAACATGCAATTTTTGTTGATTTAGACCAGGAAACGCTCATATAGTTAATATGGGAAATCCTTTTGGAGCTAAACTTTGCTGAAAAGGTTTATTTATTGTTTAAATAAAATATCACACTTCTCAAATAGCTAAAAATATATACTTGAATGCATAAGTTTGTAGTTCAGAATGTTTCATTAAGTTGGTATATCGCATTAGCAACATATAACAAGGCAGGATTAGCACTGTATAAGAGGAACCTACAATTAAGGAACTGATTTGCATTATTTAAAAAAAAAAAAACAGGTCGACATTATTTAACCTTTAAAAAGATACTTTAAAATCCTAATGCCGTTTGTGCACACAAAAGAAAAATGAAATCTTCCTAAAAACTGCTGAAAAATATTTTTTAGATATTTTTCCGCCACTCCAAACAAGTCGGTCTCGTAAAGCAAAATTATTCACATCAATATAAATATTCTGAGGGACTTTAACCCTTTGAAGTATATTTACATAGACACTGCTTTTAATAATAATAATAAAAAAAAACTATAAATACTATCATTTGCATAAAGTACTGTTTATGTAGTTTTTGGTTATTGTTGTTGGTCAATAAATGGGTCAATATTTGCTACAAACATTTTCTTTCCTCATTCATTCGTTTGTTGGTTTGAAACAATGTGACTTTTTGTTGCTGGTTCTTTTTATATTTTGCCGATTTAAGGAGCTGGCATGGCAAGTCTTAAAAAAATAAAGAAGTATAAAAAACAAATAGCACAAAATTCTCTTAAAGGCTAATATAACTTGTTCAAGGAACAGATTATTTCTCCACTCAGAAATCTCAGCTTGATAAACAACACTGGCAGAGGAAACAAATATATTCTGTGATAATCTAATACAACTACGAGCCCTGAAACTCTGAATCTTTACGGCTTCAATTAAAGTCCCTAAAACTGCAGGAAAACGGCTGCAGGACTTTTAATAAACATCATTTCGGTAACAAACCAGCTGAAGAGGTTTAACAGACAGTTAATGTAGAGATTAATTAGCAAAACCATTTGCATCCTTTAATGCCGTCGCATTTAAAAACGAAGCAGAAGAATCTGCAGGCTTGGATCGGTACTCACTCTAGGCAGAGCAGCAACCTGGTAGGCAGCTCTGGCAGGGAAATTAGTGCTGAAAACTGGAAGAAAACAAAGTTAATAGCTGCGAATTAAGGATGTTTTGTGTTTTGCTAAACTAATTTTTTAAAGATCTTTTTAATAATAAGTAAACTCTACCTCAAATAATCCCTACTTTGGCCTTTAGTTGCGTTTGTTTCACTGTGAGGTCAGAGATTATCAGCTTGGCTCATGTGTCACACCAGTTTAAGGCAGATAAACACATTTTTAAACGTTTCATGGGGCAGAGGAGCTGAAATGTAAAAAGGCTCTTCGAGCTGGAGGAAAATGCTATGAATTCACCTAATATATACATATTACCTTTTGTTTGCTTCCATGTAATATTTTTTTTAAAAAAGGAGATAAGTTTATTGAAAATTCAATCAATATTTGAGTACAAGTGGAAGCTGATGAGTGGGGATAATAATCTGATGAACTGCACACAAGCTTTAAACCACCAGTTTGCCAGAATCTGACTTTGTTCTAAAGTTTCACAAACTTTTTCAAAGGTCTTCTAAAGCTTTTCTGTGGATTTTGACTGCCTTTTACTTTATTATTTGTTTCCTGTTTAGTGGTGGCTCCCGGCCAACATAAAGGAGAGGACAAAAACAGAAAGTGTCACATTTTACGTCCAGTTTATAAAATGATTAAAATCTGGCTCACTGGAAGCAAAACATCAACAAATGAGGGTTTATTCAAGACTTTTGCCCATTACTATAGTTGTGTTTGGTCATTTTGACCAAATTAAAGGGGTCGTTTGGATTTGCTTTGGTTCGCTTCCTTTCTGCTTCCTCCCTGCAGAGTCAGGGAAAGTTTCCTGGTTTGCAGGGTTGAACTGGACCTGAAGGGAGGCAGGAGCTCGGCGCGTTGAGTCGCTGTCCTGAGGAGCAGTGCTTGCTGGGAAAGGTTGGGTTACATCGGTGTCCACTTACAACTCTGGACTCAGCCGGTTCCATTACACCGGACTGTTGTAATCCAGGAGGAAAAGCCCAAACACTTCCACTGCACTGATGCAGCAGAGGGAGAGCTAAACGTCAGATTGCGAGCCAGGGGTCAGGGGCCACAGTCGATGCTTGGGTAGAGCAATACTGATGGCTGCAGAGAGGTCCAGGGTTCAATTCCGGGCCTATTATCCCTGTGCATGTTTCTTCCTCTTCTTCTACTTCCTCTCAGAGATCTGCAAACTTTGTCTCATCGTACGGATGGAATAATACCACTAATAATGTATTAATAATATATTAAGAATAAGAATGTATTATTTGGAGTATTGGAAGATAAATTAATATTTAAAATAATTACTTTTAAAATGCTGTTAGAAGTTAAATCCAAGTTTGTATTATTATTATTAACAATATTACTTGAAAGTAATGGTTAATACCTAAAAAAAATTAAATGAAATGCCGACTGTTCAGGTTTTACCGGACACAGACATATGTCGTCATCAGTTCTTATTATTTTGGTTAAAAGCTGCCCCCTGGTGGTTTACGTCAGGTACAACATGCGTCTCTCCAACAGCTGTAACGTTAAATAAAAACGGAAATTTTTTTTATCTGGTTTCTCAATAATTATGTCTTAAATTTTAAAATAAACAGGATTATGTGAGACTGGTGTGTGGGAGAGTCACTCCAAACTCTTGATATGCAATAATGAATCTGTGAAATCTGATTTAATAACTACTCATGAACTATTTTAACTCTTTTTTGTGTATTTTAACTTGTTTGCATTGAACTGATATTTTTTTTATATTTATATGAAGACATACAGGGAAAAAAAACATCTGTGGTTGGCAAAGTGTTATTAAACACATTCAAATGCTTTACTAAAGCTAATATTAAGTAAAGTAGAGTTTATTATTTTCAATTTACATGGAGTTAGGAGCTACACAGGAGAATAAGTTATTGATACTTTTGCCTAAAATAAATCTAAATTACTGGCTTACATGTCTTGTAGACGTCGTTGACGGTGTTGAAGTCGTTCATGTCCTTCATCAGCACCGTGGTCTTCACCACTGAAGTGAAACAATTTGGGAATTTGAGTTCAACATTAAAATCAAGCGATGAAAGCAAAAAGAAGGCAACTAACAACAGATTGTGCAGAATGTGCAAAGTCTCACCGTTACTGTAGTCACAGCCTGCAGCTTTAAGGATTTCCCCCATGTTGCTCAGAGCCTGAGTAGAAAGAAAGTCTTCAGTCTCCTTTCCCTAAGAGTTAACGGTCAAATCTGAGCCCGGGTGAAGAAGTCTGTTTGTGGGTCACCTGTTTGGTCTGAGCCTGCACTCCTCCGTCCACCAGCTGACCGGAGGCCACGTCCATCCCAATCTGACCCGAGACGTACATGGTTCTGTCCACCACCACCGCCTGGCTGAGTGGGACACGCAAACACAGACAAACTATGTGAGGATGTGAACATTTTAGCAGACAAAATGTGACGTCTGGGCTTTTTAAGCACATAATTGATTCTTTAATGTGAAAGTAAAATAATTCACAACAAACTGATATTAATAAATTAAGGTGTATTAGACCCATCTACCTGTAATGTCATTTGAAATTAGCGCTAATCCGTTTTACATTATACTAAAAGACTAAGTTGAATAAAGTTGCCACTACCTCCACTCACCACAAGGGGGCGCTTCCATCTCCCCAAACTAAGTTAAACAACTAATGTACTGAAGAATTTCACGAATTAATTCTCGTTTGAACATTTCAATGATACGGTTCTGATTGATATTATATTTAGCGTCACTATTACAAAAATACTTCCAGATTTAATCCTGATTAATGTGCGGACAAAAAAAAAAAATCCCACCTGATTTAATCTGAAACAGCTGATTGGCTAAAGCAGGAACACCCCAGTTTATTCAAACGCACCTTTAAAGCATTTGTTAAAAAAAAAAAAAAAAAAAAAACAAAGGTGCATTTTAATCTTATTTTCCAGATAAAGTGGGCATAATCTTACCTATAAATGCCCTGCCTCACCGGGGCTTTCGGTGTGAAAATGATTTTCCGAGGAGTCGCTGCCATTTCAAGTCCTGTCTGCTTCACAGCGATTTCTCTCCTCTCTACGAAGTTACACTTTTGCACGGCGAGCAGCAGGTGAGTTCACTGGACAGGAAGTCCCGCCCCCGAGCAAACAAGTGTCTTTTTGCCCCCCCCCAAATAGACTTCAACCTCCCAGATTTTGCAGCAAAGACATGAAGCGGTGCAGAGCTCTTGTTTTAAACTTTTCTTACCTGTACGGACCGATGGCATTTGGAGCTGATGTGGTGTAAACGATCTTTCTGTTGAGCGCAGACATGTTTTTCCACTCTCTCCCTCTTTTTAGTGCAACTCAAGTGCTGTGGGTTGAATGAAATGGCTGCACGACAGCTTTTGGGAACGCTGTAAAAGAAAGAAAAAAATACCGTAAAACTGAGACTGAAAGCGCAGTAAGGAAGTTTACAGCGGCGTAAAAGCATGCGTAAAATGGCATTGCGCGTGTAGAACAACACGTACGGTCACAAACCTCAGGATCAAAGTTCATTTACGATGTCATAGATAAGAAACCAAGGTCTGATAACTATATGCAACTTTTATTATTACACGTTCTCAAAGTATTACAAACAAAAAAAATTAAAAGGGTTTAATGCTTACATTCCACTCTGCATCAAATCAAAAATAAAGCAGAAAAAAAAAAATCCGTAAATGAACCCAAATTTTATTTAATTTTGCACAAGTGACGGGGACAGCTGAGTCAATTTCCTATTTTAATTTAACTTTTTTTTAAAAAATGAAAACAGAATAATAAATCATCTTCCATATTAACTGTGCACTCACTAGAAGAGCATCCGTCTAAAATGCAAACATGCATAGTCGAAAAGACAGCAAAACATCCGTTTGGCCCACGAGGTGGAAATTTCAACAGTCAAGATCACGTTTTATAAATAAAAAAAAAAAAAAAAAAAATTCTAACACAGGCGAATCATATTCCTATGCAATTTATTGCGGTGCAGACTCCAGGCCCTAAAAGTAAAAGGTGACAATTTACAAATGACTTAATTCTGATCAATTAGAAGGAAAACAAATCTGAAGAGAAGCAGATATGGTTTACATGATACAGTACTGATGCCGTTTATATTGCCTGCTTATTCCAGATAAGTCAGTAACAGATCTGCTTATTCAAAATAAACAGGCGATCCACATTCATATGCAACAGAAACCTGCAAAAAAAAAAAAAAAAAAAAAAAAACGTACAAGATATTAAGACGGTTATTTCATTCAGGATCATTGTTAACATAAAAAATAGAGAAAAAGGCTTTTTTTTTTAAAGACAGCTTCTTATTTAAGGGATCAAAGGTGTTAACAGCTTCCAAATCACCAGATATGCTTGTATTTTTGATCTCGTTTTGAGAGTTCAGCCTGAAAATGTCAAAATTCAGCTTAAATTTAATCGGATACAAATTTACTGCAGCACAGACGAAGCTGAATCCAGCAGAAAAAAAAACAAAAAACCTTTATGCGTCATAGGAACGTAATGATGAAGAAAATATCACCACGTTGGTGAGGCCAATATTAATATCAAAGAGGATCGTTTAAAATGTGACATTTGTTCCAGGTGTAATGAATTCATTCTTTGCATCCTGACAGGATATTAGCCTGATGGCATCTCAGTGCAGTAGTTGCTCCCAGCTGACAACCAGTTTATTAAAATGCAATAGACTGGAGAAAACAGATTTGGGGAGACTTTGTAACCAATTTTAAATATTTGCACAATTTCCTGATTTGTTGATGCATTTAGAAACTGAAAATATTTGTTTTGATGCTGTTAATGTATATTGATTTATTAAAAATTGGTTGATTCTGAACTCGTATCAATTTAGCTTTTAAAGTGTTACAAGATGTTTTACTGATAAACAGTGAATGCGTCGCTGCCCTCTAGCTTAAGAGGAAAATAAAAATTTCCTCTGCCAAGTTTATTGAGGATTATCTTATCCATCTCTGATTTTTAAGCATAACTACTTTATTACAAAAGGAAGCCAAATATCTGTGTGCCAACAGGTTGTTTTAGGTTTCAAAGAAAAAAAAAAAAAAAAAAAAAAGCATTTTACCCTAAAACACTGTATTCCTTCAACAAAACAAAAACGTAGCCATGCACTACTGCAGCAGGGAAAATCTGAAAAATAAAGCAACAAAGAGGAATTAAAATGCAACCGTTGTAGTTAGATGTGATGAATCTGACAGTTTTGCTTTAGTTTCTTAACTCTAATGTCAGACGAATCTGAAATCTAAATCATTTAACAACTTCAGAAGACTTTTCAAACAGTTTTGTTTTACCGCTTGGTCATCCCTCATCTGGATCGATTAGCAGAATATCACTGTGAATGCATATCACTGTGAGCTAACAGGATGATGTGTTTGACCGAAGAGGCACTAAGATACATGACGTCTGTTAAAGCAGACGGTGCAAAAAAATGAAAACCCCAAACATGAAAACTAAAACGAACCCAAAAAGTTGGATCATAAAGACTGATAAGTTTGAAGTTCTCTGGTACGTAACCCGCCCACGATGTTTCCTTTACAGCTTCAAACCAGAGCGCGGCGCAAACGTCCCGTTATGTGGCGTTTTATTACATTGCTTGTTATTTTAAGGCATTCACAAAGTCAGCATAATTCTGATTGTCTTTGGTCATAGTCGAACCTCCACAGCATCTGATGGTGGTTATTTCCAAACTAGGCTCTGCGTTATATTTACATTGGAAGTAAAAAGTCTGAAGAAGAAAATAAAGGAAAAAAAAAAAAAAAAGCACTTCATTAGATCTGCTGCGTCTACAGCTGCTCCTGCTGCAGGACTGACTTCCTTATGTGCCGATGCCGACTCCTAAGGCTGACAGTTCACAGAGAAAAGAGGAAATTCCTTTTTAAGATGGCCTCAGGGTCACTTCTCTATTTTTTGCCCACAGTCCTGATCAGCGTTTACCAGAAAGCGGCTTCACAGCAACTGCGTAGAAACAGACGTCATCCAGGGAAGAAAGCATCTAAACTTCATTCGGAGGCCAGTTAGCAGTCAGTCGGGACGTTAGAGGGTTTAGGCAAGAACAACATGGTGGTCTTTGTTCTCCTGCTGGGACAGAAGTTTGCTGCTGGCTTTGGGAAGGGGAGGAAGGATCGGAAGAGCCCTTAAAAGTTCTGTTGTCTTCGCTTCTTAGCATCCATTGCGTCCAGGATGGGTTGCCGCTTGGCGGTGTAGCGCTGCCGCAGCTCCTCGATCTCCCGCTCCATCATGGGATCCAAGGCGGTGAGGCGCAACTGCAGCTCCTCAAAGTCCAGGTTCTTCAACTGAAGACACACACACAAAAAAAATAATAATAATAGGAAGGAAATCAGATACAGGCTTCACAAAACATCGAATGAAAGGATGGATGGATAGACGGGCAAATGGGGGAGATTGATTAAAGAATAGTCAAACATTGAGGGAAGGAGAGGCCAACAATAGACAGACTGAAAGAAATTGTTTGAAAAGCACAGCCAGGACACTCACAAAGTTAAAGTCTCCATCCTGCGGGACCTTCCAGTTATCAGGAAAGACATTTTTGGACTGGATGTGGTAGCCGGGCTGCTCCAGCGGCTGATTTTGGTTGTAGTTTTCCTGCTGCTGAGCCGCCTTGTTGGAGTCCTGCTTATCAAAGTAGTCCATGAAGGAAGGACGTATGGGCTGCTGGGGGGTGGCATTCCCTGTGAATGAAGAAGAGGCTCTAGTTAGGAAAAAATGTGTCTCAGGGGAAAAGAAATGTGCAAAAAAAATCTCGGACAAGCTCAAATTTCAGACTTTTAAAGATTATAAATGTAATTTGAGATTTATATCTCCACAGAAACATACAAATTTTGTCCATCCAACTGGCGATAATTTTTTCTTCTAAACATCAAAGCAGATTCAAATGGTAGAATGACCATTTCCAAAGAAAAATGGGTGAAGATTTCAGTCCTCTGATGTGCAGAGCTTGAAGAAACAAAACTGCAGCTGTAACTGCAGCACAGGTTAAATTTACAAAGTCTTGACTCAGGATGTGGCTCAATTCAACTGCAAAACACATTTCTTTAGTTTGTGGTGAGAAAAAGTTTGAGGTTCTTTACTTGCCCTTAGTTTTGCAAAGCGTCATACATGATTCTTTTAATACGAACAATGACAAAAACTAACCACCAACAGAACATCGTCTCAATCTGGTTTCTGAAAACGTTCTGGAGAATAAAATGTTTTAAATTGTCTTTTGGTCTTACTTCTCATTGACCCTTGGTCTTCCTCCTCCTCTTCGTCATCACTATTGATGACCATGGTCCCCAGGTCGGACTCCAGCATGGTGCTGCCGTGTTCGATCATGGTTTGGGCCCCGTCGCTCATCGTGCTGGTGGCCCGCATGGTCCCGGCGCCCTCAGAACCCGACTTCACCATGGTGTGGGAGTCCACCTCGGTCTCCTCCTCCTACGAAGAGAGAGAAAAAAAAAAAGTAACGCAACAATGAGCCGTCTGCTGGATTATCATTTCCCTGGAAACGTAGCAATATCTCAGCCAGACTCGTACAGAGTTATCATCCTCCTCCTCCAGCTCTCTCTGCTGCTCCTGCTGCCTCTTGGCTTTCATCTCCATGGCCTCAGTTATCAGATCTCTGAGGATCGACACGGGTTTGGCCTGGCTGATGAACGGATGCTGCAAAATAGTAAAAAGTCTTAATTTGAATCTATACATGCGTTCAGATCAGTTTGTGTGCGAGATACTCGTATCCATGCGTGTGGTATTTTGTCATTCTGCTCCAACCTGTAGGAGCTGTGTTGCTGTTGCTCTCTGATCTGGGGTTTTGACCAAACACTTTTTGACAAAGTCTGTGAAGTCATCTGACCAATGCTCCGGCTTCCTGAACGTAGGAGGAGGGTTGGTGGGGATCATGAAGATGGCCTGAAGGAAAGACGCAGGGCCGCAGAGGAGAACAAAGAATTACAACCGAGTACAAGCACCAGCTTATTAAAAAAATTAAACTGTGGACTTACTCTCATCGGGTGGATGTCAGCATAAGGAGGTTTCCCCTCTGCCATTTCTATAGAAGTGATGCCCAGAGACCAGATGTCTGCTACGCAGTTGTAGCCGATCTCCTGGATCACTTCTGGAGCCATCCAGAATGGAGTACCAATCACAGTGTTTCTTTTTGCCATGGTGTCCTTTAGAAGGAAAACATGTCAGGAGTATTTTTACTTAATTTCCATGAATAAAAACCAGAAATAAACTAAAGGACTCAAATCAATGTTATGACACATTTTAAATAAAATTACAATGGCGGTGACCTTTAAAATGAGAGTTTAAAACAATGCAAGTCTTTAATAACACGCATACAGACAGCATTTACAGGTAAGTGCTCATAACTCAAAAGGTGTCATATTTTAAGAGAAAGAAAATAAAGCGGGCCATATCCGAGAAAGGATTTGAATTTTTGTTTTACAAATAATGTGAAAAGTTTAATGTTCTATATTCAGATGCCCCGAGTCGTCACTTTGTAGCTCCACCATTTGCTTTTACTTTAACCCTCCCTCCAGCAGTCTTAAGACATTGGGTCATTTTGACCCCACAAGTTTTTTACTCTGTACGCAGTACACCAGGGACACAATGACCTCGCGTGTGCTTTTACAAGTTTTTTTATTTGATGTAGTTTTGGGAATTGACAGTCTGATAGGATAAGCCCCCGTTAGCTCCCTGCGATTCTCTAGTGTCTGACCGTGACATTTGCTGTGCTCCTCCTGAGCGTCGCGCCAAGACCAATGGAGGAAGGTTAAAGTGCTTTGTAACCGGTTCCCTGCAATTAATAAATCTCGTTCAGTTGGTTTATTTTACCGTCAACTGCCCCGCAACTCCAAAGTCAGCCAGTTTGGCATGACCCTCCGTGTTGAGAAGGATGTTTCCTGCCTTAATGTCACGATGGATCTTTCTCATGAAATGAAGGTACTCCAGACCCTTTAGCGTTGACTTCAGGATGGTGGCAATCTCATCTTCTGTCAGCTGGTGTAAGAGAAAACCCAAGACAATACTAGGATGAGAGAACCATTAAAGTGACACATCTATGACATCTAATTATGCGCGAGATCAGATGTGATGGTGGTGTGTCAGTTAAAAGTATTTGTTAAAAAAGCCTTTAAAGCACAATAGGTCAACTACATAAACTGCAATATGGGTCAAATGTACAGACAAAGTTATAACACACAGTTTTGTTTCGCAGCCTGATGATGTCTGAAACGGATCCAGCTCCACAGTACTCCATGACGATCCACAGGTCCGTGTTCTTGAAGTAACTTCCATAATATTTTACAACATAAGGGCTGCAAGGAGAGAAGAAATGCAGTTAAAAATAAAAGCTTCAATTTGAACAGAAAGAGCATTAGCAACCCAAATTAAAACCCCAAAGAGACGATTAGACCGTCAGCAGCTAAGACTTTGTGTACAATACTGCCGATTTGTTTCAGCTAAAGTTTGGGGTAATTTTTAGTAAAGCAGTGTGGTAGCCCTACCTGTCACACTGCTGCATGATGGAGATTTCCTTGATGATTTCCTGCAGATCGGACTCCACAGGAACCTGCTTGATGGCCACCACCTGCCCTGACTCTTTATGGATGGCCTTGAATACACTGCCATAGGAGCTAAACGCACACAAATCACAGAAAACATTTCATAAGAGAAACTACCAACAGCCAGTCGTTAAAAAGAGTGGAAACAAGAACACTTCTTACCCTTCACCAAGTTTCTCCAGAACATCAAACACTTCCTCTGGCTGTTTGGTCAAACTGTCCTCACTCAGCTTTTTCAGCTTACTGCAAAATGAAACAAGTCATCTAATGACATCAGTGACGCTGATAACATCTACTTCAGTCATGATAAATCCGAAATGTTTGGGTTGATGCAATATGATAATGATGACACTTAAAAATGTCCATCGTTTTTTATGAATTTTACCTCTTGAATGGGAAAAACTATAACCGACAAGATAAAGATAGGATTGGTTAACAGTCAGGGTAATAATAAAAATGTCCTAAAAGTCTAAACAAGACGTAACCTCATGAGCGCGACACAAAACACTTCCAACAGACTTTGGTTTCTTCAGCGTCAAACACGTATCGTAATATTTCAAATATTTGATTGCGATTCAGTAAATTTGCTTTTCTCGGATAAAAAAAGAAAACCAAAATCCCATAAACAACCTTAACCTCAATTGTTACTCAATTAATATTAAACGGAAACCATATTAACAATTTTCATGTGGCGTCCGTGAATCATTTCTGATCTTTTTGTCGATATTTTGAGTCAAAACTTTAAAATTAAAGTGAAGCTAACTAAGTTAGCTTAGCATAAGCTAGCTGAGCTACCGCCTACATTAGCAAATTTAAATGACGACTTCGGATATGCCCACGAACCTTTTCGGCGCTGACGGCTCCATGACGCTAACCCTTAAGAACTAAAAAAAAAACACAAAATATAAACTTATGATGTCGGATAAGTCAGGAGTAGCCAAGATACGGACATCGTCCGTAAACTAGCCTGTTTGTCATAAACTAGTGGAGGGCCAGCTGGGGGGGAGCTCTTCAAATGATGGACACTTTTGCGGTTTCAACGGCACCACACCGCCGCCTTTAGGAAAGGAATGGAATGACAGAAATAGCCAAGGACGTGAATACTTTGAAAACGCTGATAATAACCAAGTTATCACAATTAAAACCCTAAGTGTGTTGCCTATGGCAATGATTTATCTAGAAAAATATATATACAAGAACGTTTCTTCATGTCAACCGCAAACCTTGAAGAAACGTTTCTTCAAGAAACATTTCACCTCTTTTTAAGAAACATTAAATTATTATGGTTCTTAATTTGTTATTAGCAAGCTATAATAAAAAAAATAAATGCAGATTTTAGTCAGTCTTCAGGTTTTTTTCCCTCCCAAATTACACCGAATTTCCACAACGGACTGACATTAAAATGTACGAAAAATATTTTTTAAATCTATTTTTTGTCATTTGTTTGAAAATTATTTTCTTTTTGCATTGAAAAGATTTAACATCTTACATTTAGATACACATTTTACACCGGTGAGATTTATACATTTATGAATCATTTTTAAGTACATCCTAGTCCAGCTGGTGGCGCTAATGCGTGTCTAAAATGGCTTACCGTAAAAGGCAAAGAAGAAAACCGGAAACTACTTCGACGTCATTTGTGCGCATGGCGAGATAAAAGTAGGGGTAAACAGCTAGCATATAGAAAGGTAAACAGGGACTTTTTTTATTATTATGCCTTTCCTTTGTCTATTATAGACGTACTTTGTTATAATTGCGTCAGTAAGAGCATGCAAATAATTGTGTAGTTTAACTAATAAGCTGTAGTTTACCTAATAAGCTGATTGATTTATACTGACCCTATAAGTAGCACCATGCTACTTATAGCATAGTGCTATAAGTAGCATGTTTTTGTTAGCATTCTGTACTGAAATCGGTTAGTATGTGGTGATATTAAGAGGTTTCCTTCCTATTTTTGCAGGATAAAATGGACGCACAGAAAGATCTACAGCCGCCCAAACAGCAACCGATGATCTACATCTGTGGAGGTAATCAGCTATCGTTCCCGATTATATGGATAAACATGTTTAGAGGTGGCTAACTAAGCTATTACAAAATATAAACGCTGTTTATTTATATTCAGTTATACAGAAAATTGTGATGCACATATACATCTAAAAAGTTAGAATATCATATCATAAAAAAGTTTATTTTTTTTAATCACTCGTTTCTCAAAGTGAATTCACGCTTTCGTCACATACAGCGTAAAAAATATTTCAAGCATTTATGTCTTATAGTCTGAGGAGTATGACTTACAGAGAATCAAAGCTCAGTGGATGCCATCGTTTCATATTTACTAAAATTACTCCGTTCAGGCCACTCAAGTTCCTCTGCTCCAAACTCACTCATTCAGGTTTCCTTATGGTCCCTGATTTTATTCTGGTGTGTCTAATTGGAGCAGAAATGGGCCCACCCCCAATTTGTTTCCACAAAATCGGAAGTATAAAAATATTTTTAAAATATTTTTGGGATTCTTGATTATTAAAAGTTCATTTCACTTAAGTAAAGGGGTAAAGTCAAATGTACAGAATCATACATCTCTAGTAAAAAGCATGATCTCTTTTTTTTTAAGGAATTTATCAATCAGCGGTACATCCATATTATCTTTAGCTTCAGTGTTTGTGATTTTTGATTATTTGAAGTTGCATCACCAGAACTTGAAATGTCTAATTATCTACTTGTACTTTTGCAGACACATGATTAACTTTTGTTCATTTACAGCAGTGTGTTAAATACATTTATCTAAAATTGCATTAAATCTCAGTGTTTGAATCTGAAATGTTATCTCCTCAAGACTTAACGAATTTTTTAGTTATTCACATTAGCTTCAATTAGCTTTAAAATAATCAATTAAGTCTTAAGTGTCTATGATCATAATTGATGTTTCTGTTATGGTGTCATGCCTCTGATCATGCTGGAGGAGCCTATCTGACTCTTTCTTCTTCTATTTATTTTTTGCAGAATGTCACACTGAGAATGAAATTAAAGCTCGTGATCCCATCAGATGCAGAGAGTGTGGCTACAGAATCATGTACAAGAAGAGAACAAAGAGATGTATCCTTTTCCTGAGTGTTTGTGTGGGAGACAGAGCTGTAAGACGTCTCTAACCCTAAATTAAAATCAGATGTGTGAATACACTGCCACTCTTTCTGCACATTTCCTCAATTCTCTAAACCCAGTGGTTGTATTTGATGCCCGGTGAAGAAGAGAAGAGCGACAGATTTGACTTTAGTTGTTTTTTTTTATTATTATTATTGTTTTTGTAGTGTATCACCATGTAAATAAACAGTCTCTCAAGCCTGTCATCTGCTATCCCTCTCTCTTTTTAAATTATTTCAATTAATTTTACAAAGGAGTAATGTGTGAAAATTTTCTCTCTTTTTTTATTTTAGAAATTGATAAAATGACCTTCTCACAGATGTTCACAGTATAAAATATAAAAGAGCACAACTCCTGTTTTCGCTGTACTTCTTGAATTGTTGCAGGAAGTACAGTCTTTGCTGCTCTACAGTGCATACCTCCAAAAGGTTTTGAAAAAGGCTTGTCTGGATTGTGCCTGCTGATAATCCAGGGGTATTATACCTAGATTGTCAACTTATTTATTGTCTGCCCCTGTTTATAGTAGGGGTGGATTTTCAGAGGAGCAACACAATGAAAAACAAAATCAGATTGTTTTTAATAACGCAGTAAATAAATAGAAAAAAACTTTTGTAGCTAGCTAAAGCGCATTGTTTAAAACCATAGTCATAAAAATATCTGGCAGTGATTGATGGTTATGATTTGATGGTAAATTAAAGGAAACTTTTGGGGTGTTTTAAATGCTAAAGAATGCGGGTTTCATTTGACCTTCTCTAATTAAAATCTTGGATGCTTAATTGATCCACCTTTACTATGTTGTTTAATGCTGAGCAAACTTTCTTGAAAACACAATTTAACATGTATGAGGGCTCAATTCTAGCAAAAAAAAAAAACAAAAACTGGATTTTTTTTTTTTGTGCTGTTGTGACATCATCTAATCAACTTTGTGTCGTATTTCTAATTAGTTTTGACAAAAAGCTTTGCTTGCTAAAGGGGGGTTGACGGGGGGGGGGGGGGGGGTGGCGCGGACAGTGGTCCCTCTTTTATGCTAGAACCGCCCCTGCCTTCCCCATCAGTTTGCCTGCTGCGGCATCTCTGCGCCGCTGTGGCTCCCCCACCCCCACCCGCTGTGACGTCACTCCTGACACCTCCGACTGGAGGTGTGTCCAGCAGAAATCCCCCTGCCAGTCCACAGATGTAGCTGCAGCTCTGAGAGAGACCGAGAAGCAGGGAGGGAGGAAGAGTTTGGACGCACTGCGGAGGGGAGTGCAGCCATGGGGAACGCGCAGGAGAAACCCACCGGCAGCAGCGGCGGAGGAGGCACGCCGAGACGGGACAAGCCGCGGACTCACGGAGCTCCCGGAAAGGAGGTCGCCAACGGCGCTCCGAGAGAAAACAGCCCGGCAGGTGGGGAAGAGGAGCCGCAGCAGCAGCAGCCGGACAGCTCCGGGGTGGATAGGAGTTACCTGGATGCTCCGGCCGGAGCTTTGCCTCCTCCCCTGGCCCGGCTGAAGAATGAGGGGAACTACCTCTTTAAAAACGGCCAGTTTGGAGACGCGCTGGAGAAGTACAGCCAGGCTATAGATGGATGCTCTGAGGCAGGTGAGAAACAGTTCAAATAATAATAATAAAAACTCTTTAGCACCTTGATAAATGGTCATAATTAAGTTTTAACACCCCCCAAGCGTTTAAACTGACCTCATTCGCATTCATTTACTAACAACTCAAATATTTTGGGTATTTCTGGCATTTCTGCTTAAAAATAAATATATTTTTTCAGTGGTAGTAGCTTACGTGGCCTTTTAATACAAGTCTATGTCTCTGTACTGTCTATTGCAACTATAAGCAGCAGCTGGATGGCTCACTAAATTGACAGAAACATCTTTTTACCTCCCAATGGCAATAAGATTAGAGTTGGCTCTGAATGTAATTTTGCTTCATAGTTCACTGCATAAAACGGTAGCTTTGTAGTATGACTGCTTGTCAAAGCTGTGCCTACCTGGCATTCAAAATACAGAGTAAATATGACTCTGACCTCACCTGTCAGACATTATGTGTCCCAAGTGACCTAACCAAAAACAGTTTGCATTTTTCAAATTTATTTTAAATAAACCTCTTCAGAAAATCATGGACTTCATTTATTCCAATACCTCTTAATACAATCCAGTTTATGAATGTCATCCCTATTGTGAAAGATGGTGGTGGCATCATGGTGCTGTGTGGGATGCCTTTTTTTCAGCAGACAGGGAAGCTCATCAGATGGATGGAGAAGCTATAGCGTGGAAGAAACCCCGTTGGAGAGCATGTCCAATCATGTTCTTATTTTAAAACGGTCTAGCCAAAGTCCAGACCTACATCCAACTGAGAATCAGTGGCAGAAGAACGTGGACATTGGATGCCTCCGTCCAATCTTGTAGAGTTTGAGTTATCCTGAAAGGAAAATTAGTTGCAACATTGGTAGTAACAAACCTCTAACGACGTTGTAACGGTAAAGCACGGCTCCACAAAGTTTTGTTCTGAAGGGGATTTAGCAAGAATGCATGGTGCACTTTTTGAATTATGCTCAAAAATGTAGAAACCATTTAAGAGCACAAACCTTATCTTTGTGACTTTGTTTCTACATCATTTCAAGAGAGTTTTAAAAAATTAAATTAAATTGGCATAATGGCCAAGTTAACCGGCACTTAGAGGAAAACACTAACAGTAATCGTTTATCGTTTCCTAAAAGACAAAATTTCAAATCTCTATCTCATTTGTTTTGCATGCAAAGGTAATATAAAAAAAATCACTCATGTTCTTCTTCCTGCCAAGAAAAACAGAGAAAATTAAGAAATCAGTCAACACCGGGAGCACATCCAATAATTTGTTCACATTTTTTAACTGATTAACGTGGGCCAGTGTTATCAGTTTGTGGAGGAATATTTAGAAGAAGTGTTTTTACTCAGCTTTGCATAAGACTTGCTTTTAAGAATAAAGACACAAAGGATGTTTAGGAGTCTGGTTTGTCAGATGAATTATTTTTATTCTCTACCTTGCAGGCATTGACAGTCCAGAAGATCTGAGTATCCTCTACTCCAACAGAGCCGCCTGCCACCTGAAGGACGGAAACAGCAGCTACTGCATTCAAGACTGCAATAAGTGAGTGACCAAATCTACATTGTTTTTGTATCTCTGTTATGATTAGAGGATAGTTTAATTAAATAAAATTGTGCAAATAAGACAAAGTAAGGAAATAAGGATGAAGTTTTAGTGTTGTGAAACAGATTTCTTCTGGGGGTTTTTTTTATTTAATTTTATTTTTTTTTACTTTTTCATGCACTTCAGTGTTTGATGTTGTTAAAGACATTGTCAAAATCAGACAAAGACAACATCAGAAAATTTTTGCAGCACGTTTCTGGGCATAAAATCACAAACTACTGTGCAACACACACAATGACGACATGAAACAAAGCAACAATGTTACCCATAAACCTGGTGAGAAGCTTAAAGAAACATATCCTTGACTATAATAGGCATAGATGGGATGAGAAATGCCAGTAAAAGAGTTCAAAATATACCAAAGATGTTGCCTGTAATACTAAAACAATAGGGGGCCGAATACACAACTGTGAGCTACAGAACAGGAGAGTGGGATAGTATATGGAGGTGATGCTAAGCAGCTACAATGATGGAATTGTTTGCCTTAGCAACAGAATGTGATTCACAGTCTAAATCTTTAAAATGACAACAGTTAGAGATTATGAAGTTGTTACTTTCAAACCGCACTGTCAGATTTCAGCCTAAAAAAAAAAGAATCCCTATTTTATAATGCAAAGACGAGAATCTTGGTTCTTTCTGGATTATTCGGTTTACATGTTTGCTTGTGGGTCGATGGCTGTTTCTGTGTTCAGTTTTTATGTGTTTTTAGTTGATCCTTTTCTCTCCGTTTAGTTTTGGCGAATACATCTTTTACCTTATGTAGCTGCAAAAATCTGGATTTAATTAACGAAATTACAACCTGAAATTTGTTTGAATTCATACTCCGTCTCACTCGTATTGCTTCTGCTGCACTCCGGAGGCGAAGTGTAAAACTTCGGGTTAGATTCCGCCTAATTTATCTTAGGATGAATATATTTGTTTACTCCTGGAGGAAACTCGCTCCAGGTTGCGCCTTTGACGCAGACACACTGACACACACACACACACACACACACAGTGAAGGACTCGGTTTGATCCGGTCTGTGCATTCGTCTGATCCTCTTAGGGCCTTAGAGCTGCAGCCCTTCTCCTTGAAGCCGTTGCTGCGCAGAGCCATGGCCCATGAGTCACTGGAGCGCTACAAGAAGGCCTACGTGGATTACAAGACGGTGCTGCAGATCGACACCGGAGTGCAGGCGGCTCACGACAGCGTCCACAGGTTGGATCGGCACAGACACAAAAACGTTTCCGAGTCAGTCGAGCTTTAGAGTCTTGACTGACTCAGGGATGAATGAATGAATGTGTTTTTCAATGTTATGTCTTTTATGAGTTTTGTTCAGTGGACTAAAGAAAGTCTAATCAAGCTTTGATGTAATGTGTGGGCATTGCATCGGAGTGGAGTCTGTTTTCATCTCTGATCTGATCGTGAGGTGGTGACACGCCACAACTTCAGCGACAATCCTGTCTGCTGTTACTAACTTTAACTTTGCAGATGTGAGATAATTACTTGTTTTCAGTTTCCTGCAGCTAGCTTTGCATTCTGGGTAGTAAGGCTGTATTTCTGCTATATTTCAAAGTTGTTGAGTTCTTTATGCAAAACTGATGCGCCTTCTTTAATATGGCATCCAAGCTTACCTTAGAAATTATTTACTGTTTTATTGGGATGTTGATGTCTTTGGAAAACAAAATCCCCTCAGTTAGATCCACTATTGACATTATTTCGAAACTAATGTCATAAACAATATTGAAATTCTTCAATGTTCATAGTAGAGACTAGAGAAAATTTTAACTGTTTAGTTTAAATAAAAGTTAATTTGTGTTTTTCCTTGAATTTTTAATGTTAATCTGTTGCTTTTTAAAAGATCTCTTGATTTTGTTGCACTGGCTGAGGACAGTTCACTCCACATTGATTGATTTATAGTAAATCTTTACAAGCTATTAACTGCTCTGAACCTCTTAATGAAGTCTAACGTAGCAGTTTTACAGATGAGAAATATCCACCATTTAGTTTTGTTTAGATCATTTTTGCACAGAGAGCTCAGACTTCGTCGTCTCCTCCTTCCGCTAAGCTACGCCTTTTATCGCTGCTGAGCGAACAAACCCCGCAGTGGCTCCGGCGTTTGGCTACTAAGGGAAAACACTTGTGTCACGTTGCTCTCCTTGTTGTCTGCCAGGATCACGAAGGTGCTGATCGAGCAGGACGGGCCCGAATGGAGAGAAAAGCTTCCCGAGATTCCCGTCGTCCCGCTGGCCATCCAGCAGCAGCACAGAGAGAAACCGGTCAGCGTAGAGGTGGCGCAGGCGCGAGCCGCCAGGGCCGCGCAGGAGGAAGGTCGGCTACATCACTTTATCCCTGATGCCTGAAACTTACAGCTGATGTTGTGTTGATATGATCAGCACTTAACTGAACTCTGTTAAATTCACGTCTGAGAAAGACGGGAGAAGAAAGCAGATTGAAAATGACATTAAAATGCGACATCAGAAAGCAGAATTCACAGAGAACGAGGGTGTAAATGCAGAGTAGGACTGCAGGTGCTCCAGCTGACAGTGTGTGTGTGTGTGTGTTTAGAGTCGTATCAATAATGCAGAGACAAGCCGATCCGCGCAGACTGTAGTGCTGCTGTAATGGAACAATCCAGGTCGGGTTTCCTCCGGTTCCAGACTCTTCAAACAACCCAGACGGCTCCACTCAGAGGCTGCATGAAAACGCATTTCAATACATCACGTGTCTCTCCAGCAGAACTTATACAAACATGGAAATAACTTGTTTTTTTGTTTTCTGTGCTGATTAAGAAAATAAAACTAAATCCTGAGGAAGTCCCTGAGCGACACAGACAGATGATGTCATGATCAGTTAATGAGTTTCCTTCACAGAGCAGCTGCTGCTCTTCCTGGGGAATCACTTTACTTTTCAGGCTTCAACAAAGTCTTGAATTGTCCTTTCAGTACGAGATATTTTTGCTCCAAAGCAGCCAGACTTTCTTGTAAAGTTTTAAAAATGTCTAGACGACGTCTGGTGTTTCTCAAAAGTTTTTTCTGTGAACGTTTTAAAGATTTTGATGCATCTCTCAGGCTCGACATCTGGTCTTTGCTGGATTTTTTTTTCTTTTGTACCCAACACATAACTTTCAGATATTATTTATCTACTGTAAATATGATTTTTAGACCACACACTTTCGTTCTACTTTTCTCATTATGAGCAAAAACGTCATAACATGCTGTCATGATCTGGTACGAGGTTATGAGGCAAATTAGTAAACCTATAAAACATGTTAAAATATTTATACAATATCTACTTTGAATGCACAAATATAGAAAGCCATAGAAACCAGTAAAGTACAACTTACTATATTGGAGAATCACTTTATTAGCGACTCACAAAACCTACTTCTGTGGCACTGCATATCATTGCAAGTGTATTTTTATAGACATTTGTTTTTAGGATTGTCTCAAATTTCCGTCAAATTTATTTGCAAGACTTGCAGAGGGACATATGTATTAAAGGCTCCGATGAGTTTTTTTTTTTTGTTTTACAAACGCCACATTTTCACCTTTCAAATGTTCACATTGGACAGTAAAAACATTCTGTGGAAATGTTTGCAAAAAAAAAAAAGAATGAAAAAAAGTCTAAACTTTAATTTAAATCGCCTTGCAACTCTTGATGGTTGAATACAATCTTTCATGAAGAGTGACGAGTCGTGTTGTTCTTTGCAGAAACTAATTTGGAATCACGTTTGATAAACTTTGCAAATATGTTTTAAATCCCCCGAGGCTGTGGATGTTTTTAGTGTTTACTGCGTTGGGGCGTTTTCATTAGTTAGTCATTAGTGGCAGAGGCTTTCTCAGCAGACACAGCAGACCGCTAGCTCAGGAGGAATCGACTCATCTGCTCCGCTTCATTTATTGGTAAGCCCTGAAAAAAAAATCTCGACAGGCTTCTTAAGTGAAATCCGTTAAACGCAGTCGACTCCCGAAGCGTCTTTTAGTTGAAAAACCCGACTCTTCATGAAATGCAGCTCTGTGCTATCAGTAATAGGAGTATTGATTTTTATTTACTTTGTTGAGAGGTTTTGATGAATTTCCTGCTTTTCTCTGTGCAGCCAGAAGAAAAGAGGCTCGCTTCACTTTACTCAAACACGAAGGCAACAGTCTGGTGAAGAAGGGCCTCTTCCAGGAGGCTCTGGAGAAGTACACTGAGTGTCTCTCGGTGAAACCCGATGAATGTGCTGTTTACACAAACAGGTTAGTCCAAAACAACAGAAACAGTCACGCTTCGCATCGTAAAGTGTGTGTGTTAGCGACGCAGGTACGGCTTTGATCTGCTGAGGACACAAATGTGGTCACGGGCCACAACATGAGCACGAATAGCGCCATCATTTTAGACTTTTATTGACTTATTTGAACTCTTATTTTTTCCGGGGTGCTTTGGCATAAAACGTAAATTAATCTACTGTGGATTTTCTGTAATTTGTATCGGGTCAAAATGAACATTTTCATCCACAGAGCTGCCTTTTGTTTTTTGCACAGTATATATTTTCATTCCAGAAGCCTGATTTATTTTTGTGCTTTAACCATTTAGATGTTAAATAAAGATGAGGTTTAAGTTGAAAAGTTTGTAACTGATTTTGGACAAAGCAACACAGCTGTAAGCTTCTGGAATGTTCTCGTCTGTTTAATACGGAAAGAGCTGTTCAGAAACATGAAAAGTCCGAAGTTAAGCTAATATACATGCCCAGGATGAGAGTGCATTTTTTTAGGACATTAAATGTTCTCCAATGAATAGATGGAGCTATTTTTTTCTGAGATTTTCCTCCCCAGGAACTTTATTCTAAGACAAACAGTAGAGGGCACCATATTTGTACGAGACAAGATCAGATGTGACAGCACTCGCATCATAAACCTACAGCCCTTTAGAAGGATTTAGCAATAGTTTTACATCTAATCTTAAAAAAACAAAACAAAAACCTACGATTATTTCACATCCTCCTCTCTTAATAGAGCCATCTGTTTTCTGAAGCTGAGTCGGTACGAAGAGGCCAAACGGGACTGCGACTCGGCGCTGCAGCTGGATCCAGCCAATAAGAAAGCCTTCTACCGACGGGCGCTGGCCTTCAAGGGACTACAGGTGACCAGCACGCCACTGCCACTGGTTTACTTCAGTTGTAGTTGTGTTTTCCTGACACCGTCTGTGTGAAAACCCTGCCAGGATTACCTATCGGCCAGCAGCGACCTGCAGGAGGTCCTCCAGCTGGACCCCAAAGTCCACGAGGCCGAGCAGGAGCTGGAGGAGGTGACGAGTCTGCTGAGGCAAAGCTTGATGAACAGAGCTGCTCACACGTGAGGCGGAAGAGCAGAACGAATTTTATCGGCACAAACGCGGCACCACGTGTTCGGTGAGGGCTGTGTGTAATGGATAGAAACATTGCACATTATACAACAAGCAAAACAACAACAACAACAACAACAAAAAAAACCCCATTAAGATTTGATGAATTCCTGCAGGCGTGGCGATGCTTCATTGTTCGCAGAGGCATGTTACAGGTTGGGTTCTTCACCTGGATTTCTCTGTTTTTAGCTGAGCGAGTAGAGGATGAACTGGTTTTCAGCTCCACATTTCATTAAAATAAGCTGTAAATTTATCTTCTCATTGCTAAAGAATCACAGTTCGATACAGATACACTTTTCTTACCATCATTAAGATCATGTTTATTTCCCAAAATTACTTCTATTTGCTGAATGCCAGAATAACCAAAGATACTTTTTTTTTTTTTGTTAACTTGAGTTTACATAAATTTCCTTGGTATTTGCTAAAATGGCCCCGTACTGTATTTGGGTATCCCTTTACAAGCTTCTCTCAATGGTTTTGGGACATTTCGGCCCAGTCCTCCTGACAGAACCGGTGTAACCGGAGTCGGGTTTGTAGGCCGTCTCGTCCCTTTCTTACTCAGATTTTCAGCTCTGTTCACAAAGTTTGTATGACACCAGAGCTTTGAGGTGGTTCCTTCACAATGTTGACTTTGTTGTCCTTAAGCCACATTATAACCAACTTCACTGCGTGATTCGGGTCACTGTTCGCTGCAAAGCGACCTAAAGTTTGAACTTTCCAGCAGGATGTTTTGAGACGTCGGGTTTAATGTTTCAACGTAATTTATGACATGCAAAGCAGCCTCTTAAAATGACACTGCTACCCCAAACTTAACATTTGGGATGTTTTTCTCGTGCTCTTTTCCAAAATATAATCTGGTTTCTATATCTTGGTTTTGGAGAATTTGCTTCTTCTTCTTCTTCTTTCATTTCAAATCAGTGAAGTTGTAATTTCACTGCAGACGCCAACAACTTACAAGATATTTTGGTTTTATTCTGGGGTTAATTTATTCATTTATGCGACACAGCTCGTCTTCTTCCTGAGCTGTAATGTTTCTATAGTATTTATATACTTGCAATCACTTATAACTTATAACATCTAGAACAAACAGACTCAGAAGGTGCCTTTTTTGAAAAGTCCTAGTCTGTCATAGAAACTTATATTTATGTTACTAAAATGATAACTTAAACTTCTTAGTTTTAACGTGATTTGTATCTCGTCACAAAGAATTTCTTTCCTAACTCTGGCAATTAAGTGCTTCCATTCTAAACTTCTGAGTTTGAAGAAAGTATTATAAAACAATCTAAAAGTTTCTCATCTTCTGGCATTTAGTGAGTAATAATAATTTTAATATGGCAAATTCCCTAAAATGTTAAAGGTTTGGTCTGATTTAATCACACAGACAAATTCAAGTCAATTACATACATTCCAGTTCAGTCCTAACTATTAAATATCGCAGTTTATTAGTTCAGTTTATTATTCAAACCAGTAAAGTTTTCTATTTAGCGAAAGTCGAAATGCAGCAAATGATGCAAAATTGGAGAGTAGTAGGAAAATGTTTGTCCTCCAGCAGCCCAAAGCTTAAAGCAGCAAAACTGCAGATAGCTCAGGATAACTGTAAGCTTTATCAAAAGCTTTAAACCTCGTTTTAAAAGTAGACGCTGCGTCTTCCTCATACTTTTTAAAACTCCAGGAAACCTGCAAACAAACAAAAAAAAAAAACAAAAAAAACCACAGAGATCTCTGATCTACAATGTAGCTTGATCATTTGGAGCTCTATATGTGACAAATCCCAGCTTTCGTTTTGTTGTGGTAGAGAGAGCAGCCATATTTCATTCATCAGCGGTGCAAAAAAAGGGAAAATGACAAACGTTTTCTCTGCAGTCTGCTTTCGCCACAGCTGCTCCAGTCTGCACACACAGGCTTACGTAACAGGATGCTCCGTTTGAAAAGGCTAATGTCAAGGTTCATGTGAGCTGCTATTAATCATCCCCATTGTGATGTAATATATTGTAAATAGAGGTTCTTTTGGCGCGGTTCAGCGTTCTGTCGTGTGTGTGTGTGTGTGGATGAAGTAAGGAAAGACGGAGCGGGTAATAATGTGTGCCTTATTGAGATTTCTACCAAGCTTAGAATGAAATATGCCAAGATTAAAACTTTTAGGTTGGTTTGTTTTTAGAGATGTTTGGCTTCAAAGCTGAGCTGGGAATAAAAAAAAAAAAATTAAAATAAAATGTCGGAGGGAAACTAATACGTGTGTTTATGTTGGAGTTGCAGATTATTTGTGGCACAGCAAAAAAACTGAATATATAAACAACTTTGTTTAATTCAGTGAATATTTTACAGCGGTAACGAAACAATTCTTATTTTTTTCTTTAATGTGTTTAAGTTTTCTTTTACTACATGGACTTGTGGATTATGCTTTGGCTTGAGGGTCAGTAGACAGGACAGTTGTTTCTTTTAATGTGTAACTTTGCTTTACGCCTTGCTCCTGATCAAACACATTTTAATTTTAAAAAAATGAGACAGGAATTTTTGAAAACATTATAAAACTGTTTAAATGGAGTTTTAGTTTTTTTTTTTTTTTTTTTTTTTTTTAAGTGGCTATTGGAAAATTTTTTTTATTTTTTCACAAAACAAAAAGGGGAAAA